CTCTGGGTACCATGTGTTTCTCCGGGTACCCTGTGATTGTCTGGGTACCCTGTGTTTCCCTGGGTACCCTTTGTTTCTCTGGGTACCGTCTGTTTCTCTGGGTACCCTGTGTTTCTCTGTACACGTGTTTGTCTGGGTAACCCCTGTTTTTCTGGGTACCGTCTGTTTCTCTGTGTTTTTCTGGGTACCCTGCATTTCTTCTAGAAGAGAAGGGAGGGGGTGGGCGTCTTGACCTTTACTGAGCTCGTCTACGCCTTTTCACTCCCTCCCCCCCCCCTCCACTGACGTCTCAAGTACCCCCTCCCCACCCTTCACCGCAGAAATATGTCTTTGAGTCTTAAAGAAACCCAATCAATATTACTGTTAGGGTTAGGGTTAAAGAATTTAAAGATAAGGTCAGGTTAAGATTGATTTTTAATTCTTGTGACAGATTAAGATCTAGGGCTATGGCACAAGTTTTATTTGTTTTGCTATAGTCTAGAAATTTAAGAGAAAGGCAGTACGCATTTCCGGGTTACCTAATACGAATATACAGGTTAATATTGCTGGAAATGGTAACACATGAACGTAATTGCTGTACACATTTTCTATGTTCACTAACAGTCGCTAATTTATTGAGCGAGCAAGCGCTTAAAACAGGGTTCTCCAAACTACGGCCCGCGGGCCCGATGCGGCCCGCGAACTCCTCTCATCCGGCCCGCGGAGATCTTTTTGTCCAAGGAAAAATCGTGTATTGGTGATGATTAGGAATTTTACGCAGAAAAACCAAAAACATGCCTGGAAGAAACTGGCCCCCGAACTGAAATTTGATAGTTAACGCGGCCCTCGGACTGAAAAGTTTGGAGACCCCAGGCTTAAAACATTAAATCGTGAGATTAAATACGTAGATTTTTAATTTGATGTAAGTGGCCTATGAGTTAAACTCAACCTTAAGTGTCATACGATTTCTAATTTTGCATTATATAGCATTCATAGGGCGTATTGTATGCGAAACAACACCAGCGACATAGGTATCGAAGGGCCCTTACATATCCTTTACTGTAGTACAACAATCGAATAAATTGATTAACTTACTTGGTAGAACATTGTACAAACAAAGAGAAGTAATCCATGTTTTAAGATGGGGTTCACTTTTTACCGGTTATTTCCCCTGGACTTTAATATTAACGTGAATTTTGGGAAAGACATTTATGATGGGGACCTGACTCACGTTAGGAAAGGTAATGGCGGTTGGGCATAGGGCTGACCACAAGATCGCTTCATTAACCAAGGTCACATAAACTGCCCCAGGTTTCCTAGGGATACATTACTTTCGTTCTCGTATACAGTTGACCTTTATCATCTTATTGTTTTTCAACCTTTATGTGAATATATATATATATATATATATATATATATATATATATATATATATATATATATATATATATATATATATATATATAAACACATTCCACACCCAGATTTTGTAGACATAAATAAATTCCCTATGAGTTTGTAATATATTAACATAATCTCTTCAACTAATATCGCGAACACAACCCTGCTGGGATATATATCGGTAGACTGTTGGGTCACAGCAGGTCAATATCTAGCTAACAATACGCTTTAAGCCAGATATATGTATTGTTTGCTCGGCATGTTTTTAATTTAGTTGTTTTTTTTTTATTATTGGTAGCAGTTGATCGATAACCAGCAGTAGTATTGTTAGGAGAGTTTAGTGTAAACAATTATGTCATGATTCATGTAACAATGTATATCTACGTTTTGGTTTTTGGTTATTTTTTAATAGCAGTACTCTTCATATAATGGACACACATAGACTGGGTTTGTAATAGTACAGAAGGGTGACCTTTAGTCAATATAGCTGGTTGGCCATGCCCCAAGTAGTAGGTTGGCCATGTCTCAATATAGTAGATTGGCTATATCTATAATAGAGTAGGTTGTCCATGTCTCAATATGGTAGGTTGGCCATGTAAAAAATTAAAATGTGGCTTAACCACACTGCAATTTATTTCGGATGTCAGCTTTTTAAATTACAAGCCAAGTTTATGTTCTACCTGCTCGTTATGTATTTGAACGTGTGTTGCATCTACGACACACACAAGTAAATTAAATTCTAGTTTAAATCAATTGAAAACATAAATTGCTGTGAAAGCACAAAATATGCTCTTATAATAGACTAGGCTAGTCAATACATCATGGCGTGAGCATATAAACAATTAATATCGGGTTGAAATTTGGAAACAGGCCTATGGAAAAACAATATGGTAAATTCCACAAACATAAACTTAAGAAAAAATGAAAAACAACAACAAAAGCTCAAATTATTTGAAACTATAGGCTTCACTGGATTCGATGTGGTGTTTGCTTATCATGCGAGTTTCTGATACTAGCAGTGACCTTTACATCTTATGTATCTGTTACAAGACGTGACCTTCGCTTTATGTTTGAGCATATGGTATTTTGGGTTGCTGGCTTATTTCAATTGAAGACCACAGCAAATAAACCACAGTTGTCACAGTTTTCTACTTTTGAGAAAAAAAATGAGAATTTGTGTTTGAGATCCTTTGTTGTTTTATTGTGGCATGATTTTAAATTCTATATATTGAGGGAATCGAGGAAGTTTTATTCTTTAAGAGTGTTAAAAGTGATAGATATACATTATTACTAGATGAATATGGCGATAGATATACATTAGTTCTACATGAATTTGGCGATAGATATACACTAGTACTACATGAATATTATGACACTGACTCAAACAATTTAAAAAGTGGAAATCTGTGGTTTATTCCAAGTGGTCTTCAATTTATTTTCTAAATTATGGTGCATAAATATATAAAGGCTTGTTGTTAAAAAGTTTTTATTAATTTTTTAAGTAAATTTTAATTTTACGTTTTTTTTTCAAGTTGGCGTTACCCCAGCCCCTACCTCTAAACCAGGGGTCTCCAAACTACGGCCCGCGGGCCAGATGCGGCCCGCGAGGCCCTTTCATCCGGCCCGCGGAGATCTTTTTGTCCACGGAAAAAATGTTTGCTGGTGATGGCTGAGGAACTTTGCCCAGAAAAATTAAAGACATATCTGGAAGAAACTGGCCCCCGAACTGAAATTTGATAGCTAATGCGGCCCTCGGACTGAAAAGTTTGGAGACCCCTGCTCTAAACGATGTCGTAGCTTTGTAGCATTACTGATTGTAGAAGCTCATTAAAGATTGTATCATTATATTGAGACTTGTACTAGTGTGTACTTAAAATATAACATATCGTTCATCATTCATTTCATTTTTCCTGTGTAGACCCTGGGTAGCAAAGGGCTGCAATTACACTTCTCTACGGGACTCACATGAGCCCAGAGGCCTTTGCCTCTTCCTCTACCGTTCTTCTTCATGATCTCTTTGGCCGACCCACTTTCCTTTTTCCCTGAGGATTCCAGTCCATAGTTGTTTTTGTTTTTTTTTGCAATATGAACTTCTTCACTTCTCAAGGTATGACCAATCAATCCCCATTTACTGGCTTTGATCTATTGGTGGATGTTTTGTGTTTTGCCACATGTCTTTATTTGATATTTTATATATATATATATATATATATATATATATATATATATATATATATATATATATATATATATATATATATATATACTAGCTGCATCCCGTGCTCCGCCACGGTAAATCTTTTTTAAATGTACCAACTTGGGAACAGAACAAAACACAACACAAACGAACGCAAAAAAAACGAAAAAACAAACACAACACTCATAACATAAACACAATTTAAATGCAATCATAAAGGCATATTGCTCACAGTCTAGCCCGTAGCGCCAAATCGCGCCCTTTCCGGTGATTTGCACCCCCCTCAAACTTTCGATTTGCACCCCTGTTCCCCCCCCCCCCGCCCTAAAACTTTCGATTTCCACCCCCCCCCTCGCAAATTTTTTCCAACCCAATTTGGCGCCCCCTAAGGTCGGCACCCGGGGACATATGCCCTCCCCTCGCTACGCCTCTCCTATAAAACCCCTAGCTTGTCCTCAAACCGAAAGATAGAATAATAATTAGTAAACAGTATAAATAATAGGCAGTATTTAAAATATCCGTGTTTTACCTACAATATTTCACTTTATCCATTCACGCATTTTTTTTCCAGTACTTTAAATTTTAAAAATTTACAATAGAGTTTCATAACTAAAACCATTGCGCACCTAATGAACGTGATGACGCGTCTATAATAGTGCTGAATAGTTGATTAAAAATTATAAGTAATAAACAGTAGGGCCTACATTCAGTGAATAAAATAAATAAAAGATTGCCTTTTATCAATCCATGCTAATTATAATTTTCTAACAATAATTTCCTCTTACACATCCACATAATTTGCATTCACATTTTGCTAATTATATTATTGCAACACTAATTCCTTCTATGACGAACGTATATTTGCATTCACATTTTTTATTAGCGTGAGTTTAATGTATTTTTAAATTACCTCCTTTGTCAAAATTAGAAAAGAGTTAAATTCATTTGATTTTTCTAACCTACAGTTATTATGTTATTAAAATGTATCCACTTTTTCTAGGAATATTAACGAAAACTATATTTGACATTGATCCTTTTAATATGTTTTAGCAATGTGCGTGTATTTAATATTCTCTTTACGTTATGCAAAATTGTACAAACAGTGGAAATTATAAAATAGCTCTATGCCGCTATATAAACAAACCCTACTCTACTACTTATAATAAGACACTGCGGTGCACTGAAAAGCACAGCATGGTGCGTAGTTTACTTTTATAGTCCCAAAATCTATAGCGATGACGGACGGAAGGAAGGAAGGAAGGACAGACACAGCCCGCTTATATTATAGATATATATATATATATAGTGGATATATATGGGATATATATATATTTTTATATATATATATATATATATATATATATATATATATATATATATTTATATATAATATGGGGACAGCTAAAGAAAACTAGAGCAAAATATGGTTCACAGAATTTAATACTAAAATAAAAGCAAAAGCTCAGTACTGTGTCCAAATTGTGGGTTTTTTGCAATAGCCCCTGTGAACGAAATTCAGGGCATTGTTGCAGATTTTGTGCATGTTTAAAATACATAGATTTCCGTAGGTCCTGCCGTCACTTCCGCACACTGGCCTCATTACCATCAGGCAGATTCCATAACGGTCACAGTCAGGACCGAAATCAAGAGCAACTTAAATAGAGACATTTCAGGTTAATAATTTGATTTGGGGGTGGTGGGAGGGGGGGGGGGATTAGACACGTTCCGTAATGATCGAAGTCAGGACCGAAATCAAGAGCACTAAAATAGAGACATTTCAGGTTAATAATTTGTTTGGGGGGGGGGGGGGGGATTAGACACGTTCCGTAATGATCGAAGTCAGGACCGAAATCAAGAGCAACTAAAATAGTGACATTTCAGGTTAATAATTTGATTTGGGGGTGGTGGGAGAGGGGGGGGGGGAATTAGACACGTTCCGTAATGATCTAAGTCAGGACCGAAATAAAGAGCAACTAAAAGAGAGACATTTCAGGTTAATAATTTGATTTGGGGGAGGGGGGGAGGGGATTAGACACGTTCCGTAATGATCGAAGTCAGGACCGAAATCAAGAGCAACTAAAGTAGATCAATTTCAGGTTAATAATTGAATTTGGGGGGGGGGGGGGGGGGTGGCATGTTCCGTAACAATGCAGTCGTCGCCAAAATCAAGAGCAATCACAATTAGAAATACTCCTGGTTGATAGTTTCACAGTGGGGGGGGGGGGGGGGGTACTGTAACTGTAGCTGTATGCAGAGTGTCAGTTTGACAAGAAATGTTGGATCTCATGAATGTACACAAGTTTAACAGACATTCGAAACTCTGTTAGAAATTAATTTAGCCGAATAAGCTCACTTGTTAGGAAATACATTTATGAAAATGTCTGCACAATGTTAGAATAAAATGACATCAAAGTCCTAAAATGAAAATGTTTTTCAAGATATTCAAATACATTTACCATATACATTTTGTAGTTGAATATATAATTTATAAACACATTTAATCAGCACACGATAAAATCTTTTTATTTTTACACTAAACTATCTGAGGAGATGTATGATTGCAGCCCTTTGTTCACATGGGGGACACATGATAAAATCAGTCACTAAATTACCTGTATTTTAAGAATACGGTGTAAGAGCGTTAAAATATATTGATTTTTTTCTATTACAATTTTCTTATTATCAATGCTAAATTAAAACAAAGCAAAATTGTTAAACTACTCACAAGCAAGGGTGAGCAAAGGTATAAGCCTCAAAAGAATCATCGCGAAACTCTTGGAAAGATTGCTGCTAGAAAGTAAAAAAAAATACTTTTGAAAATGTGACAACTCTAGTCAGGGGCGGAACTACAGTGCCGCCAGACCCCGCAATGCGGGAGGGCCCAGGCCATTTAGGGGCCCAAAGCCGACCAGAATCAACCTTTTTGTAGTTAAAAAAAATTTATTTTTTTGCAAAACAAAACAAAAAACATACAGATTTACTACAGTAGTTAACATCGCTGTTTCATAAAGGAAAAACATATATAGCTACATGAGTTGTAGTGTGAAAGACAGGGAAACGTTCAAACCACTTCCATGACTTATTTCCCTTTTTTAAAAAGTGAAATATGTGTGCTCTTAAATAAAAAAACTTTTTTAGCACTAAACAAATTAAAAAAGCAATTACTTCTCTTAATTATTATTTAAAAAAACCAAAATAAAGGATGACATAGTATAAAAGGAAATGTATTAAAACTAAGAATATAAATACAAAAAAACTTAAAAATAAACATCAGGCGAGAAACCATTGCACATGCATAGCTTTCATGCTTCATATTCTTTTGACCGCTTTATTTATTAGGCAGCAACGTGTCAAACAATAAAACAGAGAATTTCAAAACAGACAAATAGCACTTACACAAATTATGTGTTGTTGTTATATGCTTTAATTAAGAGTAAAAACTAAGAATTTTAAATTTTTTCAAATTTCTAACAAGCCCGAAATGAGTATTCTATGATGATATTTTCGTATTTAGTTTATATATATATATATATATATATATATATATATATATATATATATATATATATACATATATTATATATGGGGCCCAAAATTTTTTTTTGCGGGGTGGCCCTTTTTTCCTAGTTCCGCCACTGACTCTAGTTAAAAGAAATAAAACTCGAACACATATTTATAATACACAAAAGCTTTAAGCGCAAACAATCCTGTTACTGGTTATAAGACAATGCAATATTTAGCCTTCTGGGAAAGTAAAGCTAAAAAATTGTCTGCCACCAATACCAAAATGAATTTACATATAATCAACAATTTTAAAAAATGCAGTTACCAAGGTATAAATATGAATTCAGGAAAACCCTTACTTACAAATTAGGTCATACAAAATCAGAATAATCGAATGTATTTACACATGTAAATATATAAAAATCAGAAAAATTGAATGTTGTTACAAATGTATAAATATAACATCAGAAAAATTGAAAGCATTTACACAAATATAAATATAAAAATTAGGAAAAATCGAATGTTCTTACAAATCTATAAATATAAAATCAGAGAAATTGAAAGTATTTACACATGTATAAATACAAAAATCAGAAAAATCGAATGCAGGCCCACTTACCAATGTATAAATACAAAATTTAAAAATAAAATTGAATGTAATTCCAAATGAGGAAATACAAAATCAGAAATTTTGTATGTAAGCCTACTTGTAAGCGTATAAAATTAAAATCAGAAAAAAAATTAAATTGAGTGTACTTGCAAATTTTTAAAACTACAAAATCAGAAATATTGTATGTAAGCCTACTTTAAACGTTTAAAAAATTACAAAATATAAAAAAAAAATTACTTAGATATGGGTAAATAAAAATCATAGAATTTGAATGTACTTACACATGTATAAATTCTCAGCAAATACTCCCTCTAACAGCTAAACTGTTTGATAAATAAGAACCAAAATCTCCTACTTCAAGCAAGTTTAACCCTATAATGTCCGGTTGGTATATTTGGAAGTCTTACGCCGAACACCTGATAATACTGAAGATTTTAAGCAAAACTACACAACATTAATTTAGCATATTAGAAATTCAAGGTTATTTTAATAAAGATGATTAAAGAATCGTTTTATTATTGTAGGTGCTAATTATGTAAATACTAAGAGCTCAACAACAAAATTAAATTAATCCAAGCAAGAAAGGGTTAAGTAGAATTTATTTTTTATAAACGCACTGTTTTCCAATTACAAAGTTTGCAGAGGAGATAAACCAATTTGAAAAAGTCAAAACAATCAATAAATGACTAATAGGTTCCTGTGATTCACATAAGAAATGGGATTGAAGATAAAAATAATAATGAAGAACAATATATATTAAAAGTAAACTCTAGTAGTTGTGAGCCTGGCGCGGTAAAACGAATACCTACATAGAGTAGTAGAAGTGCTTCGAATAACCAAACAGTATCCTAACACCATATTTATATTTGCCACATGTATACACTACATTTTATCTACCACACTGGGAAATATTTACAGCTGGGATGAAAATTTAATGAACGTAATAGCATGGCCTGGTTTTAGGTTTTTTTTTAAGTAATCTCCCGTTTTCTGTCTAAAAGCCGCGAAAGAAGTGTGTATTTTTTTTTAAAATCTGCCAGCAAAGTTAAAGGTGAGTAGAATGTATTGCTTTGTTGATCTCGGCTATTCGACAGTCTGAAATTTTACATGGTAACTGGTTGAGAGACCTGCCTCTTTTAATCATTAGTTCAGATAATTTTGTATTTTTAGTTAAAGTCATGCAAAAATGTTTCTTAAGTTAGAGTTATGTGTTTTATTAAACTATAGTGATCTTTTAGTTTAGTGAGATATAGTTTTCGTAAAATAAAACTAAAACGTGTTTCTTATTAAAATAAAAACTCATTCTCTCCATCTTTACAAAAAGTGAGTGTTATAATTATGTTTAGCGATTGGCTCTGGAATATATTCATTAAAAAAAAACAACGTCAACTGCATCAAAATTCTTTTTCTGCATTTTAAATAAATTTGTTTGTATCGTATTTAGTCTTGTGCTATTCTGGTGCTAGTCTGGTGCTATTTTGGTGCTAGCCTTGTTTTAGTCTTGTGCTATTCTGGTGCTAGTCTTGATTTAGTCTTTTGCTATTCTGGTGCTAGTCTTGTTTTAGTCTTGTGCTATTCTTGTGCTAGTCTTGTTTTAGTCTTGTGCTATTGTGGTGCTAGTCTTGTTTTAGTCTTGTTTTATTCTGGTGCTAGTCTTGTTTTAGTCTTGTGCTATTCTGGTGCTAGTCTTGTTTTAGTCTTGTTCTATTCTGGTGCTAGTCTTGTTTAAGTCTTGTTCTATTGTGGTGCTAGTCTTGTTTTAGTCTTGTGCTATTCTGGTGCTAGTCTTGTTTTAGTCTTGTGCTATTCTGGTGCTAGTCTTGTTTTAGTCTTGTGCTATTCTGGTGCTAGTCTTGTTTTAGTCTTGTGCTATTCTGGTGCTATGGAAATTTATAAAGTGCTATGGTGTTTTTAATTTTGCTCAAGACTTGTTTCCATTTCATCGTTAGTGTTGTGTGGGTTTATTGTAATAGGTTATGCCGTAAAGATTTATTTTATTGGTACCTATCATGTTAAGTGGCTAATTTAATTTGCTGTTCCAACGTCCGAGTACTTTTTTTCTTTAGAATTTTTTTCACTCGGGACGAAACATGGATAAAATTTACTTTCTCTAAAAGTAAAAAAAACTCATCACCACGGTGTAATATTTTTTGACACAAAAATTTATCAAACACATACAAACCTATCAAACACTGACATACAAACTTATCAAACACTGACATACAATACATTATATATATATAGGCCTACATACATATATATATATATATATATATATATATATATATATATATATATATATATATATATATATATATATAAACACATTCCACACTCAGATTTTGTAGACATAAATAAATTCCCTATGAGTTTGTAATATATTAACATGATCAGCTAATAACGCGAACACAACCCTGCTGGGATATATATCGGTAGACTGTTGGGTCACAGCAGGTCAATATCTCGCTAACAATGCGCTTTAAGCTAGATAACTGCACTATAGCTCGGCATGTTTTCAATTTAGTTTTTTTTTTATTATTGGTAGCAGTTGATCGATAAACAGCAGTAGTATTGTTAGGAGAGTTTAGTGTAAAAAATTATGTCATGATTCATGTAAGAGTGTATATCTACGTTTTGGTTTTTGGTGTTTTTTAATAGCAGTACTCTTCATATAGTGGACACACATAGACTGGGTTTGTAATAGTACAGAAGGGTGGCCCTTAGTCAATATAGTTGGTTGGCCATGCTCCAAGTAGTAGGTTGTCCATGTCTCAATATAGTAGGTTGGCTATATCTATAATAGAGTAGGTTGTCCATGTCTCAATATGGTAGGTTGGCCATGTAATAAATTAAAATTTGGCTTAACCACACTGCAATTTATTTCGGATGTCAGTTTTTTAAATTACAAGCCAAGTTTATGTTCTACCTGCTGGATGTGTTTGAACGTGTGTTCCATCTACTACACATACAAATAAATTGAAGTCTAGGTTTAACCAATTGAAAACAAGAATTGCTGTGTAAGCAGAAAATATAATAACATCTTGGCGTGAGCATCTAAACAATAAATATTGGATTGAAATTTGAAAACAGGTCTATAGAGAAACATTATGGTAATTCCACAAAAAAAAAATTAAAAAAAAGAAACACACAAAAAACTAACTGAAACTCAAATTATTGGAAAATATGGGCTTTATCGGCTTAAATAAAATGTTTGCTTGATCTTGATCTAGATCTAGATCTAGACTCAACGTAGACTATAGACTCTAGATTCTAGATCTAAATTCTACATCTAGATCTAGATCCAGATTTAACGTAAATTCTACATCTAGAATCTAGAATCTAGAACTAGAATCATAATATACTAAACTATTTCAGGCCTAAATTATTTTATATAAATCTTTGTTTAGCTATGCAATTGGCTAATTTAAGATAAAATTTAATTTGAAATAATTCTAGATCTAATTCTAGGGCTGATTCGCGTAGATTCTTACGCCGCTTAGAAGTAAAATATATAAGTTATTAACTTCTCATGAGTATGAACCTAGATAGCTAAGAGGTTAGTACATTAGATTACCATGCGGGTGACATGGGTTCTAGACATTTTTTAATTTTAACTTTTTTTTTTTTTTAGTTGTGAATGATAATGTTGCCTTTGCCTATTGGAACTTGGCGGGATACCGGGTAGGTGAAGTAGAGTTCACCTGTTTCTTTGTCCTCAGTATATAACGTGGATAGTGTGGTCAGAGCCATGCTCGGCCGGAATCTTTTTTTTTTTAAGATAAAACATGTTGTCTGAGACTTGGCGGAACACTGGGCAGGTGAAATAGTGTTGGGTAGGTGTAAAGTTCACCTGTGACGACAGCATATGAAGAGATAGTGTGGTCAGACCAACGCTCAGCCAAAATCTTTGTTTTCAAAGACAAAAACATGTCTGAGTTGGGAGGACACTGGGCAGGTGAAGTAGAGTTGACCTGTTTTTGTGACCTCAGCATATGAACATATTATGTTGTCAGACCCTTACTCAAACGAAGTCAGTGTTTTTAAAAGACAAAAACGTCTGAGGTGTGACGCCTTTTTGAATGTGGGGTCTGGTTATTTTGTGATGATTAGTGACAGACGTGATGTCATTTATGGATGACCCCCGAAACCCACAGTTATCTACAGTTATCTAACCAGATAACGGGTCGTCTGGTATATATATATATATATATATATATATATATATATATATATATATATATACTAGCCGTCCCGGCCAGGCCCTGCTCTGGCTTCTGTGAAAAACCTTTCTGTTAAAGACCATTACCTGTGTGTTTAGTAATCATCATAAACCCGGCATTGCCCACCCAAACCACAACCAACCAAAACAACAAAACGCAAACATAACGCTAACACAATTACAAATACAAATACAAACGAAAACAAAAACCTAACAACAAACCCAACCACAACCACAAACACCAATACGAACACAAAGAAAAGACAAACGAAAAAGCAAACGAAAACAAACCAAATCCAAACGCAAAACGCAAAACCAACCACAAACACAAACCCAAAGAAAAAAACACAATCGAAAAAGCAAACGAAAACAAACCAAATCCAAACGCAAAACCAACCACAAACACAAATACAAACCCAAAGAAAAACCCAAACGAAAACGAAAAAAGAAAGAACAAAAACGAACCAAAACGCAACCACTAACGCAAACGCAACCTAAACACAAAGAAAACACTAACGCGTACATAAACGCAAGTGCTCACAGTCTAGCCCGGGTCGGAATCGCCTGTTTCAGCTTAATAAACGACTATAGTACCCCAACTTATTCATAGTCTTTTGCACTCACTTAAACGAACGTAGGCGCCAAACCGAACACGGGAGGCACGGGGGCCCCAAATAGCACCCTGTCTGGGCACCAGAGGACGCCCGGATTCGATTCACTTAAAGACTATAGTAACCTTTCTTATCCATAGTCTATCGCGCTGTTTAAAGCGAAATTATGCACCATGGCGCTCACAGGATAGCCCAGAGCGCCAAATTGAACCCTGGTGGGGCGCCGGCGAACGCGCCTGTTTCAATTTAATGAACAATTATAATACTCAAAGCTTATTCGTAAAATACCTACAACATTTGCACTTGATCAATCCCAGCTAATTATGTAATTATTTTTTTTCCCAACACCAAAACAAAGTTATAAAAAGTAAATTATTTCTTTTCCACCAATGCAATATTTTATAAAGGGAAGTAATTGTGTTTTCCTAATTTATCAAAGGGAAGTAAGTGCTAAAGGACTAAACATAAATAATTTTCAGACATAATTAGAATTTTTGTTCATTTTTTTTTAAATTGTGTTTAATG